ATAGGCGATCTAACGTATCCCAACATGTATAAGCTAGTGGAATAGGATAAGGTGTGAAAGGTCATAGTGTCAGGGAGAACGCACTAAGGTAGGAACAAGCGTAGAATGTAAGTAACATGCAAGTGCATCCCAGACATAGTGCCGTCCAGCCGGAATGGGCCGGAGTGAGAGGTCAGCAACCGAACAGTGAGTCGTCGGCTCTGGAAGTGACTTAGCGTAAACAATACTGGCCTTGCAAAGTGGGTGGCCACTGAGCCAGACAGAGAATGACCTTGGCACTGCCGGCGCGTACGCGTTGGCGCACAGGAAAGCCAGACATGTGGGACATGCAGTTGTTAGAGTACAAGGTCGCTACAGTTGTACGGTTATATGTGGGTGAACAATAGATAGCGTTTCGAAAACTCGTATGCTCTCATCAGTATGATACCATATCTTCTTCGCATAAGCAATACTTTGTTTTTTTCTCGCCTTAAAAGCCCTAAAATCCAATTAAACTAATAGATGTTCCGAACAATACCCAAGTTGTTTTTTCCTGTACAGTATCGGTCTACCCTTATCCATCATATATTTTCCCGCAGCAGGTTCTTTCTCCTGCAGTATTTTGAAAGTGGGGCTTATTGAACCCTGCCCAAAATTTCATCGCAGTTTTTTAACCGCTTCTTTGTTAACTCAACGTATTTTCCATAGGTGGATAACTTCCGTTTTAAAAACTGAAATTCTTAGTGGATGTTAAATGCTGCCTATTATACTACTCATTTTGCACCAATATGCGTAGTGCCATCATTTTTTTTACCAAAGTACTAGTTTTTTAGGACCGGACCCAGGGCTACCTCAAACATTAAAAACTGTTGATTCATTTAGGCTTGGGAACTAAGATGTGTCCGTTATTATGCTGAATCGACCGATCGAACTTTCCAGGAAAGAGAGGTGGAAACCACTATACTTCAGGTATATTGAAATTTCCTGCAACCAAGTGGTAATTAAAATTTAAATCAAGAAAGATCGTAATCCCCACTGGCGTTGGGTTGACGATACACACATCCAATGGGTTCAGAATAGCTATTCGTTAGAGAAACTCGGAGTCAACAGCTGTCTTCTACTGCGGTAAATCGTGGATAGTCAAACGGCAGAAATATCAAGTATTGCTTTACATAGATATATCCCTCTCCATCATGACGGCCGTGGCAATCCCTCCGAATGTAGACATAGCCTAGAATACAGAGTTTTGTGTAGGCTACGCAGGCTGTTGCCTATTCCTCTGGGCGAAAAACAAAGTCTGGAGCAGGGGTCACTTATTAAGCAGGGATCTGGTATCGAAAAC